TATATTAGAACTATGTTTAGTCCTAAAAATACATCCAGAGAAGTGTACATTCTGTTCATGTCACTGACTTATTCCCTCTTAGAACATTGTGCAAAATTCAGACAGTATCACAGCACACTGTAAGGACTTCATTTAACAACAGTACAACAAAAGAGCAACTTAAGATTTCCTGCAGCACAGTGTAATGTTATGAAATGTCTTGTTTCTCTGACCAACAGTCAAAAACTGAGACATTCATTTCATCATCAAAAAAGACAAAATGAAGCAGCAGATCCTTCCAGCTGAGAAACAGGAACCTGAAAATGTTTACTTTTGCTTGAGAAATGACGAAAGTGATTTCTCAATTACCAAACTTCATTATTTTTCTGTTGACCTAGTTATTGCTTCAGCTGTACACTCTGTCCTCCCAGTACAATGGATTAGAAATACAATAATGACTACTATACTACAAGTGCTGACGTATAAGTTTGATGTAATGTGTATTTATATCCACACTGGGTGAGCTGTGTACAAATTGAGGCCCTTCTGTATGTCGTTTGCCACTTTAATGGGGCTAAATTAAATCAGTCAAATCACAGATACATACACTAAATTATTTTAATAACTGGATGCAAATCCTTTGTTTCATTGTCTGCTTAAAGTCTACGATTCACAGACATTAAAAGATGCCTGGTATTTTCCCAAGTCATGCTCTGCTGGGTTTGTGCTCATGCCACGATTTTGCCCTTAAAATGTATTGGTTGTGTTGTCTGGGTGTTTAGGATCACTGCCCTGCAGCATTGTTTACTACAGACCATACCATAAGGGCTTGAGTTCCTACACTGCTCCTACAATATAGATGTGAACACCTACAAACAGCCAAGCAAGCATTCATACCTCACAGTTGGTATTTCATTTTCAGGCTGTTGTGCCAAACAATAGAAAATGCACCTCTCTGTCCACATACTCACTGATCACACTGGTTTATGATACTGATTTACTGAAATGGATTAAGATCATTGCCTTGCTATCTGTCCAAAACAAAAATAAGAAGCCATGACAGCCCTGGCAAAGCAAGATTAAACCCCTATCTAGAGACATGTGCCACTGAGAGCACCTAAATAAAGCTGCTTGATAATCAAGGCAGCTGCAATCTGATTACTCACCATTATGTGCAGGAAAATGGTGACTCAGTTGGATGGGTCAAGTTCCACTTCCACCACCTTTCATTTGATGCTGTGAAAAACAAAGCCAGGTCATTTGAAAAGTTGTATATGATGATTAACACTTGACTTTGCCAGGATATAACAGAAAACACATAACTACACAATCACTTGACACAAGCGGTGCGTATAAATAAAGTCTGCGTTAGCAAGGGTTGTCCTGACCTGGCAGGGCCTACGGACACAACACATGCCTTTAGCTTAGCTACGCTGGTTATTTTGCGACTTTAAAGTGAATATTCTGTCACTGTCTGCTACAAATACCATTTAATAATACATTTAAAATATTAAAACCAAGAAACAAAATCAGGTTAGCCGAGCTAGCTTGCCAATTTCACAGATATCGGCTATGCTAGCATCAAATAGCTAACAATCAGTGAACTAGTTTGTTAGCATGCCTACTTTTAACTAAATAAGTCAGCTGTGTATATTTAAAATTTAAAAAAATATGCACATTAAATTGTCTCTTACCCGGTCACTCCTGTGTGTCCTACTTTGTAAAATAACCCAGAGGTGTTGTCTTGTCCAACACGCTGCTCCTTCACGACTGTTAGCTAATGTTAGCTTGCTCCCTAAGTCAATCAGCTAGCTTTGTTAACGTTTGCTGCCGAAAACACCACCGTTACCTTCCCTCCAGTCAGCCTCCGCTCCCAAACGAAACTACAACGCGTTTATGTGGCCGAGTTTGGTTGTTCCCTAAACGTGCGGGTTTATATTTCCGACCGGAATGACACAATAAGGTGACTCTCTCTGTGTAGGCTGGCTAACACTTTGTAGCTCACGGCCTCTTCCTTTCTTCCTTTGTTGCCTGTTGAATTGTGGGAGCAGATTCAGATGCAGCGGATGAGACGCACACGGCAGCCACAGCAAGTTTTCACATCCCAGAGGCACAGGCAGACACTTGGACATCATGTGCATATTTTAAATAAAGAAATTAAGAAAAAAAATGTAACATATAATTAAAACCAGCATTTAAAAAACAACTGACCTACTGTGCACATTATTTCACATGCAACACAACAGACAAATAAATGGAGTTTCATCTGTTCCCTGAAAAAAAAGAAACATGGGTATTATAACTAAACAACACACCTAATATGCGCATTGCTTTCTCATGCAACTTTATGTTTTTTGCTTAATAAATTAAAAGAATTGCAATCAAATCATCTAAAGCACAATATTTTGGGGCTTTGAAGCGACACACACTTCTCTAAATAACCCACCACTTAATGCTATTTTACAACAATGTGGTTGCTCAGTTGCCCAAAGCGGAAGGAAGAGGTTATGCAGGGCAGCTCCCAGGCATGGAGCAAGGTGTTGCAGAAGCCATGCATGTTCTGTGAACCATATAAAAGATACTGACTCAAGAAATAAATAAGACACTATTACAGTAATTGTCTTTCTCCAGAGGATGTAAAGATGTACTGAATACCACTGCATAAAAATTCACACAGTCATGCCAAAGGGAAATTCAGAAATCTAAAGTAGTGGTGTTGACACATGTTTGTACAATTAAAGGATGCAAATTAGCAGCATGGTCCTTTCTTTTGCCTTGGAAGTCCTGTGTGCTTGAGCAAAGAGGCACCTGATGCAGCTGGAGGATGCGTGGGGAACACGCTTTTATGGAAATTAATGTGTTGCACCACAGAGATAAGAAAAAAAAGAGTGAAGAAGAGAAAAAGCTAAATTTGGAACAGGGAGTAGTTGCTGCAGAAAGTTGCAGTTAACTCATGCTAGTAGAGACATACAGTGAACTGTACTGATAACTTAATTTGATGACCTAAGATTATTATTATTAAGGTGCTGCTGCACTCCCAAAGACAGTGGTTTTAAAAGTTATTTGGAGTTTAGGTTTAGTCTTACATGGGTAGCATGCCTAATGCATTTATTTTTACTTGTCCTAAATCACTCATTTTCCATCTAAAGTGTTGCGTCATGTTTTTTTTTGTAGAGAAACGCGACACTGAATTAATAGATTTCAATCAACTTATGTATCGCAGTCTATTATCTTGCAGTGGCAATGTGTGTGTGTATAGCAGCTACTTATAAAAATGCTCAAAAGTACGTTAGGATTAAAGTTAATGACTGAAACATTATTTATTTGTATTTGTTTCCTGCTTGTTTGCTTGCTATTTACACCCCACAGTTTGAACACAGGATTAAACTTCCTCCCAGTGCAGTAATCAGGATTTTTATTCTCCACCATATCAGATAACTGTAGAAATATCAACCGCTACACTTCTCCCCCTGAAGCCGGCTGTGCGTAGCCTTTATGCAGGAAGGTCTCTCTAATTTGTATTCCAGAAACATCAAGTTGGCTCTCCAAGTATTTTTCAAGTGTTTGATACAGCAACTAAAACTTGAACTCTGAAATGATACATTGGTTGCCTAATTAGTGTCAGTATTGTTCTAAAGTAGATTGTGTTTACCACTGCCAGGCTAATTTGGTCCATATACTGAACATTACATTGTTTTTCCACACTGTCAAGTGTATGGCAGTCCTTCCCCAACCTGCTTAGGCTAGCTGTGTGCAGACAGGCTCTATGCAAAGACTCTAATTACCAGGCCCTATTAGGGTTGATCAGGCTGCCTTCACTTGATGTGTTGGCACAGGAGG